AGGGTACCTCACCGATTTCAATGACCTTGAACTATAAATATGTCAAATTTACTATACTATAAATTGTCAAAGTCATCGTTCTAAACAACTGTTCCTTTTAAAATACACGTTACTACCGCGTGATCTTAATTTCCAAGATATTCACGAAAAACAGCTGCTAGTATTAATTAAATGAAGTAAAATAGTAGACTTAGATCATCCTATTCTTACGAATTTCGATGATCGTGAAATATGTATATTGTCGGATGTATGATTCTGAACAGTTTTTCCCTATATCTACATATAACTCAATGTATTTTGGCCGAAAATAAACGCAAACTTCTCCGTTAGCGGGGCGAGCAATATGTAAGCGCGGCTAAAATACAACGAGTCAAATGTTGCTGTCTGTCGATCTTAAAAGGAAATGTTTCTGAACGGTCGAATTCCAATTTTAATTAAATTTGGCAACCTTCAAGAACAGCTACAAATATTTTTTTAGCTGCAGTAATTCAAGTCGACTATGAACTAATAAGGATAAAGTGGAAGAACGTGAAAGGTGTTTAATAGTACCAGCATGAATATTAACGAGCTAAATGCATCGTCATGAAGTGTGATATCGGGAAGAATGGTTGGTGAATAAAATTAATGAGCTTGCGTTTCGTACGTAACGCACGTGGTCGGTGGAATTCGTTCAAGGAGAAAAGCCTGTTAAACGGTGCAACGCGGCACCGTTAGCAGAATGAACGATTTTTAAATTATCGTCGATTTTAATGAAATACGTGGTGCGAATAAATGTTTTAGTACTGTGCGTTCCACCATATTCACCGACGCGCAATTTACGATGAGTCAAAAGTACAGATTATTGTGGAAATGTTATCAATTCATTTAAGATTGAAATAACAAGTCGTATTTTATGATCAATATTGTCTTACATTATGTAAAACAATATTCATGGCAACTATCAGTCAAATGCTCATTGAAAACTAGAACAGTTTTCTTATTATTAATTATTCATTCTTATAAAGTAAACTATTAAGTATGCAAGAATGGTATTTTACACAATACTTGTTCAACTGAATTGTTTTCAGATATTTTTAGCTGGGCTTTTAGCTCTATATTATTTTTTGTTCAATTGAGTAATGTGGAAGGCTTATTCAAGTCGAAAATTCGCTGAATTATCTTCAATAGTCTGTTGTTTACATAACGTGTATCTCTGCGTTAGAATACTAGAACATCAATTATAAAATAAAACTCGATTACTTTTTGCAAGCTGACGTCAACCGTTATTGTAACGAAGTTACAAAAAAAATGGGATATTTTTAAGCACGTTGTACATTGTATACATATAGTCAGATTTTTTTGCAGTTAAAATTATATCTTTTTATTAACACTCCACGATATAAATCAATTTTCTATTATACAGTTTGAAAACTTTTATAAGCTTAGTCTCTTCCTTTCTACCTATAATTGCTAAGAATAATTGCTTTTGAATAAAAAGGGTAAAAGTTGATATATGCCACGTCAGTTTATGCCAAAAAAGGGATTTTATTATTATTTTATTAGAAGGGATTTTATTTATTAGATTTTCTTGCTTACTAATTAAATCCGTTTTCATTATAATTTAATACGTTATTATTGTCAATATCACAAGTTTCTGGTTTCCATATGAATAACGTCAAGTATTTATATAATCACAGTTAGTCGGTACTTTGCAATAGATCAGAGAAGAAATATGTACAACAATACTATGTATATCTGATCTCTATATCTGTATTACTTTATTCATATTACATATAATTTCCTACCGAAACATAATATGGACTATTCAAGGCTATCTAAGTGAACAGTATTGTATCACATTCTGTTATCTACCCACAAATTACGTAAATCAATTCCAAAATAACCCTCAGTATCTTCTCCAAAAAAGCGTAAACTTTAGCACTGTCAAAGTAACCAACGTTATTAATTATAAAAAAAAATCAGTTTTTGTCTGACTGAATTCCTGGAACCACATTTGTCTTCGTAGGTCCGTCAAATGTCCCCCAACAATAAGCCTTATTTAAGAAACACAGAAGAGATGCGATCGATCGGCTGCTAAGCGTACTTTGCCGACGGACCCCTTATCTCTTAGAAGAAAGCAACGTTGATCATCGTCAAAGCAGCAACTATAAAAGGGGTAAACATAATTGTCTGTCGCACGCTTGACCGCGGACTTTCTCCAACACGCGGCAGGTTCGCCGGAGAACCCGCGGCACGTGTACCTCCTAGATATCTTCGCATCGAATCGTTTCCAAGTTCTATTTAAGTTACGCAGAAGAGGAGGCACGCGGTATAGTTGCGGTGGCGGGTTTGCGCGTTTAATCGTAAGGGGCGGACGAAGAGGACGATGTATCGATCCCCGAATCAGCGAAGCACGTAGTCGAAGCAAAGACGGGGGTATCGGCCGGGTGAAAAAAACGTCGATGATCGGAGCATCGCATCGGCGCGGCGACGGTGTTGAGTACGTACGGGGAGATATAGGATACAGGCTGAACGTGACGAGTAGTGGGGCTGGCAAGAAGAAACGAGCAAGCGGCGCGCGGCCAGTTATGGTGGTAAACCACGGTGGGGTTGAAAGGTGGCGTAGTCATTTATGGTTGCCGGTTGGATTATTATCCGACCCGATGCGACAGTTCAGTTCTCTATCCGAGCAACCGAGATTCAAAACGAAACGCGTTGCCGTGAGATCAGTGGAGGCCGGTTCCTCATCGTTGGCTTCATTACGTTTGGCCGTCACTTCGTCGATTGCGTAACGGTATTGGGCCTTTGACGAAATTCTGTTGGGACTGGAATTTAATTAAGGGGGACATGCAAGGGTGACGGACCGAGAGACATAGGTACCTTCCAGAATTTCTTTTCAAGTAAACAGTGTCAGTTAAAAATTTTCTGTTTTATTATACATGAAATATGTGCATTGGAGAAGATATAAAACATTTCATTGAACTATTTTAATAACGTTTAGACTCGTGTTCATAAGTTCAAAAAGAGTGTAAACGTAATTGAATTAATTGTTGAAGGAAACAAGAACTCGGGAGGTTCAGGGATACTTTGAAATATTAACTGGAGTGAAAGGAAAATTAAAAAGGGAGCAACTTGAAAAGCACTAGAATATAACTATTAGAATAGAATTAATTTAAATACTAAAATGAAAAGAAGTATACATTTATGTTTGAATTAAGAGACGTGAATTGGAAGATGTGCAATATATAAGAGTAGTTGAGAGCTTAATTATTAGTTATTAAAAAGTAGATTTAAAATAAAAAATCGTATCAACTATAAAATAGACATTAATGCTCTTTTCGTTTCTCATTTTAACCTGTAATTAATTATCTTATATGCACAAATGAAAAGGCTGTGAATAAGAAGTGATGTGAAGTTAATTGGAATTGTTTAACTGAATAATTAATTATTAAAGCAGGAGGTCTAAACGAAGTTTCGGTAGACTGAAAGTACATCTAAAATCAGGGTGCGAACTGAAAACAGGAGTTCTAGGGGAGTTAATTAATGGCTAAAGATCTCCGACGACACCGATATACTAAACGAAGACGCGTTACGAGAACGGTTGTCACGCTGTGAATTGCGAAACGGAACCGAGACGTTAATGAAATTAAATTCCACGTAGAGTTTTTTCTTCCAAATTGTTTCGTAATTAATTAAGTCTTAAAATGAATTTAAAGGAAAAGACTTATAACACGTCTACTATTAAAATTCATGCAATGGATAAGACATTCGAATGTAGAAAAGGAATCTAAAACTTCACAAATAGAGTTAATATTTTATGAAAATTAAAGGATTCTTCGAAGATGGGTTCAAAGGCACTATGGGTCAAAGAGTTTCTTGAATTAAAAAAGGAATGTCAATTTTTGTAATAAGAAATTAGACCAGTAAGGTCGATATGGAGCTATGGAAAGAATTTGATTAATGATCGAACGCATCACAGATTTATGATGATACACTGTAAATGAAGATTGATTTCTTTTACAATTTGCAACAGTTTGCAAGAAACTTCAAAAGCAGTTTTAACAATTCCTTCATTTCAAGAGATTAATTATTCAACCGAAGGCATAAATATGTCGCAAAAATTAATGCTTCCAATTAAAGCACGTAGATTAGTTATTTCAAATTGAATTAATAACTGGTTTTCTGAAGTACTTTGCAAAATGCAAATTTGTGAAGTGTTTAAATTTACGTTTCTCCTCAAAGCAAAAAAGGATAGAACATCCTAGAAAATAAAAAATGTTCTAATTCTTAATTTGACTCACGATTGAAGGCTTGTTATCTCTTTGACAATGCTCGAGACGAGTAAGGAACTGTTCCTAGCTCGGAAGGTTACTTTTTTTTAAATAAAAGAACAAGCTGGAAGAGCCTTGAAAGACAAGAAGGAAGGATATGTTCATCTTTGAAATCGCAAAGTGAATCAGGCAATTGAACTCGGAACAGAAGAAGAATTCAGTCAGTAATAGGCGCTTGACGAGACTCTTTAGCAGCACTTCCTAAATGGGTTTCCCCTTTCTAAAGAATTTCCGGAGATAGCTTTAAAAAACAATTGAAAGTTCGTTCGAAAAGACGAACTGCGTTTAATCACCGATTTAAACGCGGAATTCTATTATTTAAAACATATCTTTGAAGAACTTGAAATCGGTAGAATATTATAAAATATTATAAACTAATTTACCTTCACAACACACGTCAGAAACTCGATAAATTAAATGCCGATTCTGGTACAAATAATGGAAACTCAAATTCTTGACATTTTAAAATAGACCAAATAACCAAATGCAAAATCTCAATAAAATTTTAAGTAATAATACAGAATAATATAATTTAATAAAAAATTTGATGTATTTCATACTAAATAACAATTTAAATAAAATTTGGTAAGGCCATTTGCAGAATGTACAAACAGTGTTTTTTTTAAAGACTCATCAGGCACTAAAAGTGGAAGTTTGAAAGACATTACAAGACGGTGAAAAATATGTACGTTCTACGAGTTTACTTTCGAACTTCATTCAATCGATGTTCGGTTTTGACGAAGGTCCTCGCGAAGTTGAACGTTTTTGAAAGAATGTGAAAGAGAGAATCACTATTCTCAGGAAGAGATTTTTCGCGTGAACAATGAGTTCTTTGAAGAGATCGTCGAACCAGTCGACTAGAGAGGCTACCTCCGGTAGGAGGCACGCTCTCACCGCGACCAGCTCCAAGAGCTTGAGGAGCGTTATCCATACTCCTACCGCGCCTGGGTCACCTCTTCGTCACAGATCTAAATATGAATTGAGGAGCATCAGTTTGGAGGGCACCAAGGTTCTACCATGGACAGCACGGTGAGTTAATATATAAAAGATTTTTCACTAATAATAAGTGTGCCTGACGTTTACACTCAAATAAAAGGCTATCAAACGAAGCTGATATCTTTTAAACAACATTACTTTTCACATGTACAGTGAACCCGTTAATATTCGTACTCATTTTAAAACTGAATAGCTTTTTTCATATTGAACCAAATAATTGATGTTAGAAGGCATAGTTTATTATATAACGTGTAATAAATAATTAAAGGAAACTGCATGAATAGAAATTGCAAAAAGTAAAAGACATGATTTTTACTTTTCTTATTGCGGTGTCATAATAAAAGTTTAAAACATGCCGTTTGTAGATTTAACTTATATGCGTGTACCAAGTTTCATAAAAATCGGTTAACGTTGCTATGAGCTACAAGGGAAAATTTGAAAAGGTCGCAGGTTTTCACGACTTTTGGTCTGCAACTGAGATAAATTTTTTACATGTTGCAATGTACGTAACTTTTTCATGTTATTAACGATTTTTATGAAACTTTGTACATGCACGTCATTTATTTAGATCTACAAACAGGATGTTTCAAATTTTGATTAGAGACCGCAATAAAAAAGTTACAAATCTTTACTTTTTTATTTGGAAATTGAGACTTGGACTAATAGGAATTATTTTTAATTGTTTTAATATATAATTTAACAAAAATTAGACTCAATATTTTCTTCATATTATTGACATACAATATACAAGCGAAATTTA